TTGCTTTCTGTCTTCTTGTGGTCTTGCTCTGTCTCTGTGGCAAGCACATATGCTCTGTAGCAAAAATCTCTCCAAAAAAAGAAAAGACAAAGACAAAGAGAACCCCAACAGAAAACAGAAAAACAAATGCCCAGTTCTAAGTAAATCATTAAAGAGATAAGAATTTAAATGAAGTTTTTTTCAGCAGCAGTGGTAATACCCATTGTTGGCAAAGATGTTGCTAAAATGCTTCTCTACACTGCTGATTTGAAACAAAGTTGGTACTTCTGTAGCTTCAGACAGGTATTCTTGCCTGCATATCATCTAGTCCCTTTCTAATCCCATCTCTACACTGCTTCCATGATGATATTTTTATTTTTTGTAGTGGATAGACTTTATGTATTAGACTTACAAAAAAATTTATCAAATAGTATAGAGTTCCCAATGCCTCCCCTCTCCTGCACATAGTATCCTTATTATTTTTTAAAGAATTATTTAACTTTGTTTGTTTTTGTTTTTAATTTGACTAGAGAGGGACAGAGTGAGAGAAAGAGAAGGAGAGTAAGAAATCAAGCCGTCAGGTCCGGGACTCAAACCATGGTCAGCTATATGGGAGTCCAGTGCCCTTAACTACCATAACACTGAGAGTATGTGCCCAAGATCTCCAGAGGAGAATGTAAAAGGGATTGCAGCATGGCCATTGCCTTGGTGGGTGATTTCTGTCTCTCTCTGTATCTCTGGTGAGTGCACATACCCTATAACAAAAAGCCTGGCCCAAAACCCTATAAAAAAAAACCCCCCTAAAAAAAAAAAAAAAAAAAAAAAAAAAGTCCTCATGTCCTTATTATTAATATCTTCCCTTAGTATGGAAAATTGATTGAACCAGTAGTCATAAAGAATTATTAATGTAATTTCTGCAGTTTATGTTGAGGTTCATTCTTTATGTTCTACAGTTCTGTGGGATTTAGCAAATGCACCATGTCATGTATCCACTATTATACAGTTATCATACAAAATAGTTTCACCACCTAAAAATCTAGTGCTCCACCTGCTCATTCTTCTTTCCTCCCCTTGAATCTCTAAAACCACTGATACTCTTTTTTTATATTTCTACAGCTTTTGCCTTTTTTAGAATGTCATAGTTGGAGTGATACAATATGTAGACTATTTAGATTGTCTTATTTCCGTTAACAATATGCATTTAAGATTATTCCCATGTCCTTTGATGGCTTGAGAGATCATTCCTCTTCTTTGCTGAATAATATTCCATTGTACATTCCAAACTACTGTTTGGTTATCCATTCATCTATCAAAGGATATCTTGCTTCCAGTTTGGGGCAGTTATAAAGAAAGCTGCTGTAATTGTGCATTTGTGTGCTTTTTGTAGACGTACATGTCAATTTAATTGAGTAAATAACTAGGAACACAAGTTTACTATCATGCGATGAGACTATCAAATTATTGTCCAAAGTAGGTGTACCATTTTAAATTCTTACTGGGACCAGCAGATACCATAATGGTTATGTCGCTGGACTCCCACATAGTCGACAACTACGGTTTGAGACCCCTATCTGGCAACTTAAAACTCACACCAGGCACATAGGAGTATGTGCCCAAGATCTCCAGAGGAGAATGTAGGAGAAGGGATTACAGCATGGCTATTGCCTTGGTGGGTGATTTCTGTCTCTCTCTGTATCTCTGGTGAGTGCACATGCCCTATAGCAAAAAGCCTCTCTTAAAAAAAAAAAACAAAAACGCAATTCTACTAACAGCGAATGAGAATTCCTATTGCTTTGCATCCTCTGTAGTGTTTTACATTATCATTTTTTAAATGTTAGCCTTTCTTACAGGTGTGTAGTACATTTACTGTACTTCATTGTTTTTAATTTGCCAGAGGGTACATGTGCTTGTCAGAGAGAGGAAGGAACACTTCCTAGAGGAGTATAGTCATGCTGCAGACCTTTTTGCCTCCATTTTTCCATCCTCCTGGAATTTAAGCATGTACCTACACGTGCTTGGCATGTTTTTCAAGTCAGTGGAGTGAGATGTGAACTGTAGTCAGGCATGTGGGATCCAGCTTTCTTAACACCTAGACCATGGGGCCAGCTGCTTATGTCTGGTTCTTAATTGAGGTTTTTATTTTCTTCTTATTGAGTTCTAAGAGTTCTTTCTATATTTCAGATATAAGTTCTTTATCAGATATGTATTTCACAAATATTTTCTCCCATCTGTAGGTTGTCTTTTCATTCTCTTAATAATGTCTTGCATAGAGAATCCTTAATTTTAATAAAACAGCTTACTAGGTTTTTTTTTTTCCCCATAGTTTTTGGTATTATTGCTAAAACATATTGCCAGCCTTAAGGTCACCTAAGTTTTCTCCCGTGTTATCTTCTAGTACTTGTTTTGTTAGGGAGCATTTGCACTAGCCAGAAGAGAAATAAGTGGTTGTGAGAAAGAACCTACATGGAGGATGGTTACACTCCCTTCCCTTCTCTTCCATTTCTCCCTCCTTTTGGGATTTTGGACATGCATGTACACATATGCCCGGTGCGTTTCTGAAGCCACCAAATGGAACTAGGACTTGAACCATGCAGTCAGCCATGTGGGGATCCAGCTGCCTTGGCCAGCAGGCCACAGGCTGTTATACTGTTTTTATAATGGTAAAAATAAAAAATAAACATATATATATATATATATATATATATATACTTTTTTTAAATATAAAGTTTACTATCATGCGATGAGACTATCAAATTATTGTCCAAAGTAGGTGTACCATTTTAAATTCTTACTGGGACCAGCAGATACCATAATGGTTATGTCGCTGGACTCCCACATAGTCGACAACTACGGTTTGAGACCCCTATCTGGCAACTTAAAACTCACACCAGGCACATAGGAGTATGTGCCCAAGATCTCCAGAGGAGAATGTAGGAGAAGGGATTACAGCATGGCTATTGCCTTGGTGGGTGATTTCTGTCTCTCTCTGTATCTCTGGTGAGTGCACATGCCCTATAGCAAAAAGCCTCTCTTAAAAAAAAAAAACAAAAACGCAATTCTACTAACAGCGAATGAGAATTCCTATTGCTTTGCATCCTCTGTAGTGTTTTACATTATCATTTTTTAAATGTTAGCCTTTCTTACAGGTGTGTAGTACATTTACTGTACTTCATTGTTTTTAATTTGCCAGAGGGTACATGTGCTTGTCAGAGAGAGGAAGGAACACTTCCTAGAGGAGTATAGTCATGCTGCAGACCTTTTTGCCTCCATTTTTCCATCCTCCTGGAATTTAAGCATGTACCTACACGTGCTTGGCATGTTTTTCAAGTCAGTGGAGTGAGATGTGAACTGTAGTCAGGCATGTGGGATCCAGCTTTCTTAACACCTAGACCATGGGGCCAGCTGCTTATGTCTGGTTCTTAATTGAGGTTTTTATTTTCTTCTTATTGAGTTCTAAGAGTTCTTTCTATATTTCAGATATAAGTTCTTTATCAGATATGTATTTCACAAATATTTTCTCCCATCTGTAGGTTGTCTTTTCATTCTCTTAATAATGTCTTGCATAGAGAATCCTTAATTTTAATAAAACAGCTTACTAGGTTTTTTTTTTTCCCCATAGTTTTTGGTATTATTGCTAAAACATATTGCCAGCCTTAAGGTCACCTAAGTTTTCTCCCGTGTTATCTTCTAGTACTTGTTTTGTTAGGGAGCATTTGCACTAGCCAGAAGAGAAATAAGTGGTTGTGAGAAAGAACCTACATGGAGGATGGTTACACTCCCTTCCCTTCTCTTCCATTTCTCCCTCCTTTTGGGATTTTGGACATGCATGTACACATATGCCCGGTGCGTTTCTGAAGCCACCAAATGGAACTAGGACTTGAACCATGCAGTCAGCCATGTGGGGATCCAGCTGCCTTGGCCAGCAGGCCACAGGCTGTTATACTGTTTTTATAATGGTAAAAATAAAAAATAAACATATATATATATATATATATATGTATAAAGAAAAAACCTCTAGAAAAATTATTACACAATATTTCATTTTCAAGACAGTATATGTTAAATTTCAATGCCATCATTTTAGTATTGAAGTAATTTCTGATAACCTGTAATATAGTGGTATATTGCAAAGGAAGAAACAGAGTAGGTTTATTTTCAGTAAGAAAATTTATTTTCAGGTCTTTTCTGACTCGAGGATTTATGTCTGTTCCCTAGCGGAGGTGAAACGTGTAGGAGATACACTATTGGGTATGGCTAAAAAATGTTATAAGTTCTTTATCAGATATGTATTTCACAAATATTTTCTCCCATCTGTAGGTTGTCTTTTCATTCTCTTAATAATGTCTTGCATAGAGAATCCTTAATTTTAATAAAACAGCTTACTAGGTTTTTTTTTTTCCCCATAGTTTTTGGTATTATTGCTAAAACATATTGCCAGCCTTAAGGTCACCTAAGTTTTCTCCCGTGTTATCTTCTAGTACTTGTTTTGTTAGGGAGCATTTGCACTAGCCAGAAGAGAAATAAGTGGTTGTGAGAAAGAACCTACATGGAGGATGGTTACACTCCCTTCCCTTCTCTTCCATTTCTCCCTCCTTTTGGGATTTTGGACATGCATGTACACATATGCCCGGTGCGTTTCTGAAGCCACCAAATGGAACTAGGACTTGAACCATGCAGTCAGCCATGTGGGGATCCAGCTGCCTTGGCCAGCAGGCCACAGGCTGTTATACTGTTTTTATAATGGTAAAAATAAAAAATAAACATATATATATATATATATATATATATATATACTTTTTTTAAATATAAAGAAAAAACCTCTAGAAAAATTATTACACAATATTTCATCTTCAAGACAGTATATGTTAAATTTCAATGCCATCATTTTAGTATTGAAGTAATTTCTGATAACCTGTAATATAGTGGTATATTGCAAAGGAAGAAACAGAGTAGCTTTATTTTCAGTAAGAAAATTTATTTTCAGGTCTTTTCTGACTCGAGGATTTATGTCTGTTCCCTAGCGGAGGTGAAACGTGTAGGAGATACACTATTGGGTATGGCTACACAGTGTGTTCAAGTCAAGAATGTAATAAAAACATCTCCTCAGACTCTCTCAAACTTGTGCCTAAAGATTAATGTTAAACTCGGAGGAATCAATAATATTCTTGTACCTCATCAAAGGTAAGATAATCTAATAATTTATGAAGATTTTCTTTAAAAAAAAAAAAATCTTCCTTTTCCTGTGTATGGTCATATCTATTGATAACTACTGTAAGATCTGCTTTTGTTTCTCACTGAGAGCCCAGATTGAAGAGTTTTCTCTGTCTGATAGTCATCTTCAGCCTTGCTTCCTAAGGTTCCTCACTCACTCACCTAGAGCATGAAGGAGGGAAGGAGGGGTACGACACGCGGCTGGCTACTTAGGTAAGCCGCGTCAAGCCCTGCTGCAGTTAGTGAGATAGCGCGTACAACAGACGTGCCCATTAAATCACCGTCGTTAGCACTCTTTGGAAGCACGAGACATCATTACCTAGGAATAGGAAGAAGCTGATTACACAGATCGCTGGGGAGGAGGCCATTATTCAGAAACAACAGGTTCCCTTTTAATAGCTGAAGCAAGGAGGGCTCAGAAGAGTTAAGTGTGCTGGGCTAGTCAGCAGTACAGTGATAACGTGGCACTTATGATGTTCGGCCCATGCAGCAGGGTCTTGGGTTCTGTTCTGAAGCATCCCTGTGCATGCCGGGCACCTGCACGTGCCTGTGATCCAGGCGGACTGGGTCTGGGTGTGGATTGCAGCATGAGGACCTTGTTGGGCTGCCTTTCTCTCCATGTTTCTCTGTCTGTTGTTCTCAGAAAAACTAAAAAAAAAATTTAGTGAGTTTTTTGCTATAGAGTGTGTGTGATGGCCCGACAGAGACAGAGAGACAGAAAGCAAGAAATTATCTCCCATTGGGAATGGCCACACCGTAGTCCCTTCCTCCTCCATGCTCCTCTCGGGATCTTGGGCATGCACACACACGCACCCAGCATGAGTGTCAAGCCACTGGGTCTGGGACTCGAACCATGGTCAAGTATGTGGGAATCCAGCGACGTAATCATTACATCATCTGTTGGTCCCCCTAAACATTTTTAAGAGGTTTGTGCCTAGGAAAAATTGATTTTCAATCACCCTAAAGGAGTGATTTCTCACCCCCTATCACCCTCTTTCTCTCTGGCAAGCGCATGTTCCCTCTAGCAAAAGTGGAAAAAAAAAAAGGCAACCCATGTGTGTTTTACACAAAGGCCCTTTTCTTTTTTCCCCATGCTGCAGCCTTGATTTTCTGTTTCTGTTAAATATGAAATGAGATTCATAAATGAGATGAATACAGAGTTTTATCAAGTTCAAGAACTAAGTGACATTCCTTTGAATCTTAAATGATATAGTCTTAGAATAAAAGGAAATATTAGCTACTTAACATATTTTTTTTAATTATTAGTTAAATTTTTATTTATTATTATTGTTATTTTTTAATGTGACCAGTGCAAGAGAGAGGGAGGTGTGGGGGAAGCAAGCTACGAGGTCTGGGACTTGACCCACAGTCAGCCATGTAGAAGTCCACCACCTTAACCACCACACCACCTGCTGGTCCCTGCTTATATTTATTAAATCCTTTTGGCCAGGGAAGGGGAAGTGGTAGACTCTTGTGATCCTTTCTAGTTTAAAGTTTAGTTTCTTGAGAGATTATACAGGCTTAACATTTAAGTAGATTTTAAAAGGTCGATAAAAATTGATGAGTTATTATGAGAAGGTTTATAATTTTGTGCCAGTTATGGACAACACTACCATAAATTGCCCTTTGCAGCCATGAGTACTGCTGCTTAAGACAAAGATCCGCTCTGAATTAGCTGTTGAGTGGGCCTTTGTGGCAGCCTTTACAGCGCAGTGAGATGCGGGATTCACGACCTGCTGCAGGTCAGGCTGTGGAGCTGTCATAGGACTTCCTCCGTGCTGTCAGTAACTCGCACTTATGTTGCAGTCAGTGAAACAGATAAATGGATGATGGAAAAATGGTTATCTAACCCTTTTAAAAAATGTGTTTAAGACCTTCTGTGTTCCAGCAACCAGTGATCTTTTTGGGAGCAGACGTCACTCATCCACCGGCGGGTGATGGGAAGAAACCTTCTATTGCTGCTGTGAGTGTCCTCACACAGTTTTATCTAAGTTAAGACCAATATAAACATGTTGGATACTGCTTTTCTAATTTGAATGTTATTTTCTTTGTAGCCAGCCAACTTTCTTAAATGTTCTTTGTATTTTTTTATTTTATTTTATTTTTTAAGAATTCTTTTAGGGGCCAGCAGGTGGTACAGTGGTTAAGAGCGCTGGCCTCTCACATGGCTGACTGTGGTTTGAGTCCTGGACCTGGTGGCTTGCTTCTCACTTTCTTTCTCTGTCTTTCTGTCATTCTGTCTTTCTCTGGTCAAATTAAATTAATTAATTTTTTTAAAGATTCATCTTTACTTAAAAGAAAAAAAAAAGAATTATCTTATATAAGACTGGCAGGTGGTGTGGTGGTTAAGGGTGCTGGACTCCCGCATGGCCAACTATGGTTTGAATCCTGGACCTGGCTGCTTGTTTTCTCACTTACCCCTAACCCCTGCCCCTCTCTGGTCAAATTAAAGTAAATCAAGCTAAATAAAATAATTCAGCTTGATTTTATGTACTTATTTTAATTGGACCAGAGAGCAAGGGCGTGGGGGGGAGGGGGGGGGCCGGTGAGAAAGCAAGCCTCCAGGTCCAGGACTTGAACTATGGTCAGCCATGTGGGAGTCCAGCACCCTTAACCACCACAGCACCTGCAGGCCCCATTTTTTGTTTTGTTTTGTTTTGTTTTTAAGAATCATTTTATTTAACTTTATTTATTTATTTATTTTAATTTGACCAGAGCGGGAGAAATCGAGAGAGAGAGAAAGAAAATGATAAAGCAAACCACCAGGTCCAGGACTCAAATCACAGTCAGCCAGCATGTAGGAGTCCAGTGCCCTTAACCACCACGCCACCTGCCAGCCCCCAATTTTTGTGTTTGTTTTTAAAGTATTTATTCTCTGGTCTAGGAACTACAAGTTCCATGTACTATTAAATCAAGTTTGTTAATTACATTATTCAAACCTTTTGTATCCTACTTTAATTTGCCTTCTTGACCTCTCTGAGTATGCATTTTCTGTTACTTTCTGTGGTTCAAAGAGTTTACTTATATATTTCATTGGTATCTTTGTTGCAGAAAGAAAGATTACATATAAACTTGATGGATTACATATTTTTCAATATAAGATATCTTTTATCTTCATTTAGTTCAATACTTTATACCTGAATTCTTTAATACTGCCACTCCTCCTTTCAACATACTCCTTTGTATCTTTGCCCACTTCTGTGTCAGTTTCTTTATTTTTTGAAAATTTGTTTGTTTATTTGTTTAGTGACAGGGCTCGTGCACTCATGAGAGAGAGCGTAAGTGAGAAAACAAGCCACCAGGTCCAGGACCTGAACCATGGTGAGCCGTATGGGAGTCCAGTGCCCTAACCACCATGCCACCTGCTGGCCCTCTGTGTCAGTCAAAGTTTATTATGTATATACTTCAGAAAGCTAGATAATATTCTACCCATTTTGAAAACCACTTGATTTTTAACAAATGTCAACATTTTGAAAATCAGTGTACCTCAGGCATACTTGGTAAATTTCAGAAGGTAAACTATAAGACTTTTTATTACCCATTATAAGTAATCTACATGTAACATGAACCATCAAACTGTTAAGCCTTACTTATCCTTGAAAATGATAGTAATATTAAAAATTTCACTTAAAAATTCTGAAGTTATTTTTATTTGTGAAGAAAATTGATTTTCATACTAATAAATAGTGTTGCTTTGTTTTCTTCCTTTCTTTCTTTCTCTCTTTTTTTTTAAGGTTTTTGCCATAGGGTGTGTATGCTCACTGGAGAGACAGACAGAGAGAGGAAAAGTGAGAAATCACACCCCAGGGGATGGCCACATCACAATTCCTTCTCCTCTGTTCTCTTCCTGGGATTTTAGGGGCAACACACACAAGCCCACGCACACACGCCCAGGGTGGTTTTCAAGCCACCAGGTCCTAGACTTAAACTGTGGTAGGCCATGTGGGAGTCCAGTGCCTTAACCACTGTACCACCTGCTGGTCCGCTTTGTATTCTTAATGTTTTGCTTCAGTTATTTCCTTTCAACTGTTCCAGGTGGTATTGAGCCACCTCATATCCATAAAAAAGTTCTTATAGAAGAAAAAATGGTAAGAAATGAAAAAAATGTAGAAGACTTGCCTTGTCTTTGCTACTTAGGAGTCATTTTCCTGGATGGTTTAAGCATATTTTAATTCTTTTGGACTTGTGTTAGTCATTGTCCTTTTCTGCTAGATAAGTTTCTACCAAGTAATCATTTTTTAAATGGTTATTAGAAGTTTTATAAATGTAACTTATAATTAAGGGATTTTGCTATATGGTTCCTATTCCCGAGAACCTAAAGACTAGTATGAAAAACAAATGTGAGTAATGAATGCCACATGGTGTAACAGATACTACCGCGGTAGTGAGGGGGTTAACGACTGCAAGAGCACATCCAGTTTGGGAGTGCTGGGAGTCGAGGGCATTGGGATGTGCAGTGCATTGTGGGGCTCTTAAGCTTCTGCAGGCATTTTGTGCCGTTGGGGTATGTAGACTTATTCTTAGTGCCGCACCATTCCAGGAAAAGAAATAGTCCCAAGTTCTTTTTTTTCAAAGTGATGAAAAGTATGTGCAAACACACACATAGGGTGGGGGACAGAGGAAAAGCTCCTGTGACAGGGTCTTTTCTCACTGCAGACCCCTTTCCCAAGGCCTCCATGTCCTCAGATACTGTCTGCCCAGGCCGTGCATGCATCAGACATGCTTTACAGGCTGGTCCTGGACCCGAACCGGTCGCCATTTGGCTTCTAGCACTACAGGGCACTAGTGTTGGCACTGCACAGGTGCTGGGCCCAGAATTTCATTTGTCAAGCATGACTTTGATAGACTCCTTTGGAAGGAAAAGCCCGAGGGCTGAGTGGCCAGTGTAGGCTCTGATCAGAATTGTAAGTTTATAGTCTGAGGTGTCCTCTGCTCCAAATACACAGCAATACTGAATAAGACACAGAAAGTTAAAATTTGAGTTAGTCTCAAAACCAAAATGAGTTTCTCTGAGGACCGGATACATAACACAAAGACAGCACAGGCAGACTGAGTGTAGGTTCAGACCTCATCTGGGAGATTGCAGTGAGAGAGGGAAGTTTCTGATTTTAAGATTGTTAAGAAGCATAACAATTCTAAGATGATGCCAAAGTCTGAAGTATAATTTCTAGGATGAACTGCTTAAAGTAGAACAGAAATGAAAAAAATCAGTGGTTTGAATTGGTTCTCTCTCTTTTTTTTCCTCATTTTCTTTATGCATGTCTTTTTTCTTTTCTCACTGAACTTTAGGTCTGTCAGCAGTATTAAAGTCTAATTGTTAGCATGTAAAGTGCAGCCTACTCAGAGGAAAATTGTTTTCGATCCTTTACTCGTTCTCGACTGTTCATCACTGAAAATTACTGTTTTGATTACTGTCAAAATTCATTTAGTTTTGGGGCCGGCAGGTGGCGTGGTGGCTAAAGGCACTGGATTCCCACAGGGCCGACCACTGTTCAAGTCCTGGACCTGGCGGCTTGCTTTCTCTCTCTCTCCCTCTCCCTCTGTCCCTCTCTGGTCAAATTGAAATAAACAAATTAATAAATAAGTTAAAAATAAAATAATTCTTTTAAAAAATTCATTTAGTTTTGATTATCTTAATTTATATTTTTGTTTACTTTTCCCAACCTAGGTAGTAGGTAGTATGGACGCCCACCCGAGCAGATACTGTGCCACAGTAAGAGTTCAGAGACCTCGACAGGAGATCATCCAGGACTTGGCCTCCATGGTCCGGGAGCTTCTCATTCAGTTTTATAAGTCAACTCGGTTCAAACCTACTCGTATCATCTTTTATCGGGACGGTGTTTCAGAGGGGCAGTTTAGGCAGGTCAGTTGCTAAGATCTCTTTAGGCTATGGTTAAATCAGATACTGTGTTTTTTTGTTATGTGATTTTTGTTTTGAGAGTTTGTTATAGAGCATGGCCAGAAAGACAGAGACAGAGAGACAGAAGGCGAGAAATCACACCCCACCCCCACCCCCGGGGAGATGGCCATGCCACAATCCATTCTCCTCCATTCTCCTCTTGGGATCTTGGGCACACATGCACACGCCCGGTGTGAGTTTAAACCATCAGGTCCGAGACTCAAACTGAGGTCGACTACATAGGAGTCCGTCAGTGTAGCCATTACACCAACTGCTGGTCCCCAGGTACTGTGTTTTAATAGTGTCTAATTCTGAAGGTTAAAGTCTTAAGTCGGGAGTTCCTAAAGTCAGAATTGGATCCTTCAGTAAATTTTTTCCTTTTGAAATGTTTACTGTGGATGTGTAAACCTTGTTCTGATAATAGTTAAGTGGAACCAAGAGGAGAGTGGCTCTGCAGCTCAAACTGAGTGCAAGTAACAGAGAATCACCACGATTCCTCTGAGGCTCTCGAGGCTCTCCTCTGCCAGTCCTCTTGGGATCTTGGGCACACATGCACACGCCCGGTGTGAGTTTAAACCATCAGGTCCGAGACTCAAACTGAGGTCGACTACATAGGAGTCCGTCAGTGTAGCCATTACACCAACTGCTGGTCCCCAGGTACTGTGTTTTAATAGTGTCTAATTCTGAAGGTTAAAGTCTTAAGTCGGGAGTTCCTAAAGTCAGAATTGGATCCTTCAGTAAATTTTTTCCTTTTGAAATGTTTACTGTGGATGTGTAAACCTTGTTCTGATAATAGTTAAGTGGAACCAAGAGGAGAGTGGCTCTGCAGCTCAAACTGAGTGCAAGTAACAGAGAATCACCACGATTCCTCTGAGGCTCTCGAGGCTCTCCTCTGCCAGTCCATCAGCAGTCGAAGTCCATTCGTAGAGGAACATTGTTGTTGTAGTAGTGGCATTCGGGAAACACGTGTGGTTGCTGCTCACAGGAGAGAGACAGAGAAATGCAGTGAGAGGGAAAGTGAGAAATCACCCCCAAGGTTGGGGAGGAGGTGGCCATGCCATAATCCCTTCTCCTCTACTCTCTTCTTGGGATTCTGGGCACACGCACATGCGTGACTGGTATGATTTTCAAGCCACTAGGTTTGGGACTTAAACCACAGTCAGCCATGTGGGAGTCCAACACCTTAACCACCGTACCACCTGCAGGCCCCTGTATAGCAACTTTTTGTGGAAAGGATTAGAGAATACAGATCTGGATCAGCCACTGGTGTGGACATTAAAGCATCTGGATCCCATGTGGCCACCTGCACTGTTTGAGTCTTGGACCCAGCAGCTTGAAAAACACATCAGGTGCACATGTATGTGTGCCCGAAATTCCAGAAGAGAAATGGAGAAGGGGTTGCAGCGTGACCATCCCCCATGGGGAGTGCTCCCCCTTCTCTCTCTGGCAAGGGCACATCTTCTAGCAAATTAAAAGAGAGAGAACACAAACCTGAGTGATGGGCAGCAGGTCTAGTGGACCTGCTGTACTGACCCAGAGTATCCACAAGAGCTAAAGATGCAGCTTTTTAAGCTTAAGCAAACATGTGATGAGTAGACATAGATACATCTCCTGACTGCAAATTCGAAGGTCCTAAATTTGAAGTCATCAAAACCCCAGTGCTGAAGAAGTAAAGTAAAATTACTTGGTGTTTTGTCTTGGATTCATTGTACAGTTCATCAGAAATATCAGGGTCAACATACATTTCATTATCATCAGATGTGCTTTTTAAGCTTAAGCAAACATGTGATGAGTAGACATAGATACATCTCCTGACTGCAAATTCGAAGGTCCTAAATTTGAAGTCATCAAAACCCCAGTGCTGAAGAAGTAAAGTAAAATTACTTGGTGTTTTGTCTTGGATTCATTGTACAGTTCATCAGAAATATCAGGGTCAACATACATTTCATTATCATCAGATGTTTTCGCTTTTTTTTTTTACTATTATTTATTTTGACCAGAGAGAGAGGGGTGAAAATGAGAAAGCAAGTTGCTAGGTCTGAGACTTGAACTGTAATTTGCCATGTGGGAGTCCAGCACCCCCTGTCAGATATATTTTTTAATTATTTTATTAACTTTATTTATTTATTTATTTTTGACCAGAAAAGGACAGAGTGAGAGTGTGCATGCACGAGAGAGAGAAAGTGAGAAAGCAAGCTGCCAGACCTGGGACTTGAACCCAAGTCTACCATGGGGAGTTCAGCACCCTTAACCATACCACCACCTGCTGGCCCCCAGATATTTTTTAAAATACTGATTCCAAATAAAGTTTTAAGTGATACTGAGTATTTAAAAAAAAAAAAAAAAAGGAATAGAGAATATATTTAGTTTTTATAAAAGACTTATTTAATTTTAAAGTGATGAGATTAAGAAATCCTGAGATTAAATCATTATCTTACTTTAAAGTATGTAGAAATAAAAGGAAACAACTGACTATATTAAATCTTTCCATTTCGTCTTCTCTAGGTATTATATTATGAACTACTAGCCATTCGAGAAGCCTGCATCAGTTTGGAAAAAGACTATCAACCTGGAATAACCTACATTGTAGTCCAAAAGAGACACCATACTCGGTTATTCTGTGCCGATAGAACAGAAAGGGTAATCTTACATTTGCTGTTATATTGCTATTAGCTGGGCTTATCCAACACAGTTCATAGAGACCGTACAAGGACCTTCTGCTAACGGCAGGATTTAGTATAGACTAGCAGATTTCAACAGTTGGACTATGAGTATAGAAATACAGGAGCATTGGGACCAGCAGTTAGTATAATGGCTATGTCGCTGGACTCTCACGTAGTCGACCACGGTGCGAGACCCCAACCCGGTGACTTAAACTCACGCCGGGCGCGTGTGCGTGTGTGCCCAAGATCCTGAGAGGAGAATGGAGGAGAAGGGATTGCAGCGTGGCCATCCCCCCTGGGGGGTGATTTCTCACTTTCTATCTCTCTGTCTCTGTCTGGCGAGTGCACGCGCCCTATAGCAAAAACCTCTCAAAAAAAAAAAAAAAGAAAAAGAAATACAGGAGCACTGAGCACTGAAGTACGCTTATTTCAAAGTGTTCTCAGATACATTTTTACCTTTGTCTTGTTTGTCTAAACTTTGCCCAACCAAATCTAGGTTGGAAGAAGCGGCAACATCCCAGCTGGAACGACAGTTGATACAGACATTACCCATCCATACGAGTTTGACTTTTACCTCTGCAGCCATGCTGGAATACAGGTAAGACTCACTTCAACTAAAGTGTTTTGTTTTTTGTTTTGTTTTGTTTTGTTGGAGAGGTTTTTGCTATAGGACACATGTGCTCACCAGAGAGACAGAGACATAAAGTGAGAAATCACCCCCTGGGGGGAATGGCCACACCACAATCCTTTCTCCTCCATTCTCCTTTTGGGATCTTGGGCACACACACCCGGCATGAGTTTAAACCACTGGGTCTGGGACTCAAACCACAGTTGGCTACGTGGAAGTCGAGCAACAGCCATTACGCCAACTACTGGTCCTGAACTAAAGTGATTTAATGTAAGAAACATGATTTAATGTAAGAATGTCCAGTCTTAAATGTATTTAAATCTCAGAAAAAGTACAGAGGGACCAATAGATGGCATGATAGTTATGTCACTGGACTTACTTGTAGTTGACTAGAGGAGAAGAGATTCCAACGTGGCCATCTCCCCAGGGCGTGATTTCTCACTTTCTATCTTTCTGTCTCTTTGGTGACTGCATGCACCCTTACAGCAAAAATCTCTTTTTTTGGGCAGGGGTTTATTTGCTATAGGGCGCATGTGCTCGCCAGAAAGACAGAGAGACGGAAAGCGAGAAATCACCCCCCAGGGGGGATGGCCACACCACAATCCTTTCTCCTTCATTCTCCTCTCGGGATCTTGGGCACGCACGCACACACTCCCGGTGTGAGTTTAAGCTGCCGGGTCCGGGACTCAAACCTCAGTCAACCACATGGAAGTCCAGCGACATAGCCATTACACTAACTGCTGGTCCCAAAAATCTCTCTTAAAAAAAATTCAAAATTTTCTGAGATCAAAAAAACAGAGTCATGGACCAGCAGGTTGCATGATGGTTAAGGTTCTGAATCTCACATGGCTGACTTTGAGGTTCAAGTCCCATACCTCGTGGCCTAAAAACTAAGCTGGGCCTGTGTGCACGCATATTCAAAATCCCAAGAGGAGAACGGAGGAGAAGGAATTGCTGCGTAGCCATCCCCTCCACCCCCCAGGGGAGATTCTTCGCTCATCCTGAAGCAGGGCTTGTACTGGAGAGTGAAAAGGGTATTGAGAACATCAGCTAAGAGTCTGTACCACAGTCCTGACAGGAGGTGATGGTACCTGGGACTAGAATGGTGATGGAAGAAAACTGAGTGAAAACTGTAGAGCTGGAGCTCCCCCTGTCCCACAAGCCCTGTTCTCACCAGTCCTCTTACTATTCAGGAGCTCTCCCTTCCCCACCTCCTCAGAAAGATCCCCTAATCCCTGATCACCTAATCTGGCATGTCCCGGTTTTCCAGGAAGTGAACTCAGTCCTCCCACACTGCTTCCAGTGGTGGCGCTGTCTGTGTGCCGGTACAACTGGGCCAGTAATTTAATTTTTTCTTTTTTGAGGTTTTTTGCTATAGGGTACATGTGCTTACCCAAGACACAGAGAGAGACAGTGAGAGGGAAAGTGAGAAATCACAAGGGTGATGGCCATACTGCCATCCCTTCTCTTTCATTCTTTTTTTATTTTTATTTTTAAGAATTATTTTATTTTATTTTATTTTTAATTTTGACCAGAGAGAGAGAAGGAAATTGAGAGAGCAAGCCACCAGGTCCAGGACTCTAACCTCAATCAGCCATGTGGGAGTCCAGCACCCTAAGCAAGCCACCACAACACCTGCTAGCCCCTCTCCCTCATTCTTCTCTTGGGATTTTGGGCATGCACAAATACCTACCTGGCATTATTTTCTTTTTTTTCTTTTGGAGAGGTTTTTGCTATAGGGCACATGCACTCACTAGAAAGAGACAGACAGACAGAAAGCGACAAATCACTTCCCAGGGGGATGGCCACGCCGCAGTCCCTCCTCCTCCATTCTTCTCTCAGGATCCGGAGCATGCACGCACACGTGCCCAGCATGAATTTAAGCCACCGAGTCCAGTACTCGAACCGCAGTCGACTTCATGGGAGTCCAGTGACATAGCCATTACACCATCTGTTGGTCCCTGATCTAGTATGATTTTCAAGACACCAGATCCAAGTCTCAAACCAGGATCGGCCATGTGGGAGTCCAGTGCCTTAACCACCATGCCACCTACTGGCCCCTAACTTCATCTCTTTCTCTTCATGTCCCAAACTGTGCTCATGCTAGCCTATTAACTCTCACCACAGATACCATGAAATATTATGCCCCTCTGCTCTCATTTAGGTGTTTTTTTTTTTTTTTTTTTCTGTAAGGTGCTTTCTCACTCTAACTTCCCAAAGCAGGTCACATCTTCCTCATTCTCTCTGTGGTGAAGCACTCCAGGATCCCCCCCAGTCACCTCATTTGGTATTCTCATAGAGAGCTCTATGTGGCCATAGTAATATCACTATTTATTCGTTGTTTTTGTTTTTCTTTTGGAGAGGTTTTGCTGTAGGGCGCACATGCTCACCAGAGAGACAGAAAGTAAGAAATCACCCCCTGGGGGCATGGCCGTGCCGCCGTCCCTTCTCCATTCTTTTCTCACAATCCTGGACACGCACGCACCTGGCATGAGTTTCAAGTTGCTGGGTCTGGGCCTCGAACTGTGGTCAACTATGTGGGAGTCCTGCAACATAATCATTACACCATCTGCTGGTCCCTACTAGTTTTTTAATTGTATTGGGTTGTCAGAAAAGTCATGACACGTTTTTGCATAGGAAAAAATGTTACGACTTTTCTGACAACCCAGTAGATACTCTGTTACTCTATTCTACTAAATTAAAATTTGGGGCTAGCCCCAGAGTCTAGCAGTTAAGGAAGCTGAATGCCACGTGGCTGACAGCAAGAGTCTCAGCCCAGAACCAGCAGGTGGTATAGTGGTTAAGGCACTGAACTTCCACACAGGCAAGTCCCAGAACTGGCAGCTTGCTTTCTCACTTTCCCTGTTTCTCTTTCTCTACACATGTCTTTCTCTGGTAAACACATGTGCCTGTAGCAAATTAAAAAATAATAATAATGAATAAATTTAGATAAAAAGAATGAGTCTCAACCCAGCAGCTGGAAAAACACACTGAATGCTTGCACATATGTGCCTAAAATTTCCACATAATGGAGAGGTAGAGAAGGGATTGCAGCGTGACCATCCCCCATCGGAAGGTGCGCTTTCTTTCTGTCTTTCTCTGGTAAGCTCACATGCCCTCCAGCAACTTAAGAAAACCAGAGTGCAGGGCCAGCAAGTGCCACTGTGGTTGGGACACTGGACTCCCACATGGCCAACTGTGGTTCAAATCCGGACCTGGCGGCTTGCTTTCTCATTTTCCTTCTCTGTCTCTTTCTTATGACTATGGTAAGTTAGGGACCAGCAGTTGGCGTAATGACTGTCACTGGATTCCCATATAGTCGACTGCAGTTCGAGTACCAGACCCAGTGGCTTAAACTCATGCCGGGCACATTTGCGTGCATGCCCAAGATCTCAAGAGGAGAAGGGAGGAGAAGGGATTATAAAAAAATAAATAACTAGAATGCAGAACAAAAGATTAATGTTTTCCAAACGATGAGAAACATTTGACCTTCTTGACTTTGTTTTTCTTTGAATCTATACTAGCTGCCATAGTAACTGACACATAGAAGCTCAACTCAGTAGTTTTGGGGGGTGTGGTATAAAATATACTTAACCAGCGGCCGGCAGTTGACATGGTGGTTAAAGGTGCTGGACTCCCACTTGGCTGGCCACGGTTCAAGTCCTAGACCTGGTGGCTTGCTTTCTCGCTTTCCCTCTCTCTCTTTCTGTCTCTCTCTGGTCAAATTGGAAAATAATAATAATAAAGTTAAATAAAATAATTATTAAGGGGGCCAGCAGGTGGCATGGTGGTTGAGGGCGCTGGATTCCCACATGGCTGACCATGATTCGAGTCCTAGACCTGACGGCTTGCTTTCTTACTTACCCTTGCTCTGTCTCTCTCTGGTCAAATTGAAATAAATAAGTTGAATAAAATAATTTTTTTTTAATTCTTTAAAAAAATATGTGGATAGCCTTAAGTTTACCATTTTAACCATTTTCAAGTGTGCAGCTCCATTCAGTAGGACTTTCACATTGTTTTGCAGCCGCCAGCACTGTCTCCAGGACTTCTTTATCTTCCCTGATGGACACATTCTATCCATTAGACACCAACTCTCTCCCCGCAGCCCCAGCCCCAGGCAACACCACTCATTCTGTCTGTATGAATTTGACTATTCTGGGCATCTCATATAAGTGAATCATAAAATATTTGCCCTTCTGTCTTTTTTTTTTTTTTTTAATTTTAGCTTTAGGTATTTATTCGTTTATTTCTATTTCACCAGAGAAAGAGAGTGAGAAAGCAAGCTGCTGGGTCCAGGACTTGAACTGCAGTCAGCCATGTGGGAGTCCAGCGCCCTTAACCACTACGCCACCTGCCGGCCCCGGTGATTGGTTTATTTCATTTAGCATAATGCCTCCAGTGGCCATCCATGTTGGAGCATGTATCAGAATTGTCTTCCTTTTGCAGATGGCCTAGTAGACCAGTTGTGTTTGCCCACTCATCCGTTGGTAGAGACATGGACTGCTTCTCCCTTGGGTTATTGTACTTAATGCTGCTGCAGACATGGGTGTGCAGACATCTGCTTGAGTCCCTGCTTTCTCTTTTGGGTATATACCCAGACCAACTACATTTTATCATATTAGAATATGTTTCAGTAATGTGTAAAGCTGTTCTTTTAATATAACTTAGTTTTTTTAAAGATTTAGAAAACAACAGGATGTGCTCTTACCTTCTCCACAGGGTACCAGCCGTCCTTCGCACTACCACGTTTTATGGGATGACAACTGCTTCACTGCAGATGAACTTCAGCTACTCACTTACCAGCTCTGCCACACTTACGTACGCTGTACACGATCTGTTTCTATTCCTGCACCAGCGTACTATGCTCACCTGGTGGCATTCAGAGCCAGGTATCATCTCGTGGACAAGGAACATGACAGGTAATGTGAAAGCACAGCAGGCCCAGCCACCCTGAAAAGCCAGGGCAGTGGCGCATGCTTGTAGTCCCAGCTGCTCAGCAGGCTGAGGCAGGAGTATGAGATAGAGGGACCCTGTCTTGAACCCACTCCCCTCCACACACACACGTATGCAAACCAAAGCCAAACACACATACACACAACTATAGACATCCTCACACAAGCCCAGATACGATCTGTATACTGGGATTGGGAGAGGGATCTCTTTCAGTGCTCCCATGCAAGCAGGTGTCTTTGTTTGCCATCAAGTACTGCCGTTTGGAAGTACAGTTCCACAAGCTATTAGGTGAGGCACTGACCAGTGTGAAAAGGTACTGAGGACTGACAGCCCCGGTAAGGTTTCTGTTGCTATGTGCTGCGTAGGCTCATTAGCATGATGGAATGATATCGTAGGTAAGTTGCTTTGCCAAATGAATTCAAGGGAAATATTAAAAGTGATAACAGGGCCAGCAGGTGGCATGGAGGACTCCCATATGACTGACCACAGTTCGAGTCTTGGACCTGGCAGCTTGCTTGATTTTTTTTTTTCCTTTTTTCATTTATTCATTCATTCATTTTAACTTGACCAGAGAGAAACACACACACACACACACAGAGAGAGAGAGAGAGAAAGCAAGCCACCAGGTCCGGGACTCAAACCGTGGTTGGCCATGTGGGAGCGTCCAGTGCCTTAACCACCACGCCATCTGCTGATCCCTTTTCTCACTTTCTATATCTGTCTGTCTCTGTAATTCCCTGGTCAAAATAAAATAATAATAATAAACAAAGTTAAAATAATTCTTTTCAAAAAAGTGATCATAAAAGTCATAGGTAGGTAGGTAGGTGGATAAAATCAGGTGTATGGGATTTGCACCCACGTGGTCCTGGGGAGGCCAGAGAAGTAAAACAGAATTGGCCTGGGAGTTCATCATTATTGCAGCTGAGTGATAAACACATACTAGACTCTTATTTTTTAATACTTTTGACATTTCCGATGACAATATTTTCCAGAATGATCGCATGAGAATTAAAGTTTTTGTGTTTATTGACACTTCCCTTACAGTGCTGAAGGGAGCCATGTCTCAGGACAGAGCAACGGGCGGGATCCGCAGGCTCTGGCCAAGGCTGTGCAGATTCACCAAGATACCTTACGCACAATGTACTTTGCTTAAAAAGTCCAAGTATGTTCTCAGAGGGGGGCCTGGAAGATGAGTCGACATACGACGGATGTTTCCGGTGGAGTCAGTTAGGTAGGGACGCCTCCAGCCATACAGAAACCAACACTGTGTGTGGGTCAAGGTCTGATCCTTCTGTCGATACAAGGAAGATTGTTTACTTCATCAAGGAACAGAGCACCATTATGCAATATGAAACCAGCCAACTGCTTTTTGTGCGGTCTCCTGTAGGAAGTATCGCAGTTGTTTGTTTTCACTTCTTGTAGTCTAACCCTTTTAATGCCTTTACCTCAAGTTGCTTGGCAGCACAACTATCTTTGCAAAAAAAAAAAAAAAAAGGGAAGAAAAGTACATGATGGTTTAAAAAATACACACCTACATGAATAATCAGAGTGATTGTTCACAATTATGTGTGCAAAAATTAATGTGCATTCATATATTCTTGTAAAAGCTGTCTGTGTATTTTTTTAATATATACATGCATACTTGGTATGCATATATATCTGGGTCTAGATTGATAATGGATATGTATGTGTCTGTATCTGTTTGATAGCTCATTCCACTGGGGAGCCTGCTTTCTCTCTTAGTCTCCCGTCACTACACCTTTATCTCCCTCTACCTCCCTTGCCTCATCACCTACATTGTTTTCCTAATGCTACCAGTGACATTCAAATGCTCGTGTGTCTGGTCCATTTGAACGTGAAGCACGGCAAGCTAGAGTTCTGTTTTACCTTGCCCACCCTTGTCTCCTGTCTCGTACACAATCTCAGTGCTCAGCTCGCAGTCTGTCCTATGGTAATGTTGGTGTGTGTGTTCTGCCCTCCCCCACTCAGTAAGTACATCCGCCACGTGGGCAGAGCGTGCGTGCGCAGTCGCGGCCTACGCCTGATTTCCTTTAACGAGTTTTATTAACGCTGCTATAAATAGACAACTTGTCAAAGTTGGACTCTCCCTCTGATCCTGGTGTATTCTGAAGCCTTCTGTTTGTATGATTATACATGGAAATCCCTTAAAGCTCTTATTAAGGGTAAATATTTTCAAAGATTGGAACTCCGTAGGTAGAGTCGAGGCCTCTGAAATCAGGTGGAGAGAGATGCTATTGGGATTTTGTGTCATCTTGCTTTGCTTTTTTGTTTTGTTTTGTTTTGTTTGCTAGTTTACTTGCTGCCTCATACCTTAATGTGATTTTCATATATATATTTTTATATATATGTGTGAATATATAAACATATATGTATGTGTTTTGAAGTATAGCTTCCTTTTCTTTCATATTTATTAGAATAGTACTTTAATAATTGTAGAACCATATTGGCAACATCTTTTATAGACATATAATCATGTTTATTTTGAGAACTGGCAAGTCATTTTGCTCTTTTAGTGCAATAAGCAGTTTTAAAGGAAGGTTGTATCAGTTAGGCATCTTTACCTTGGATAGTGGGGGGAACAGGCACCTCCGTAATCATGAAAGGGCAAAATAATACAGCCTTAATTTCAGAAGGAAAGTTTTATCATTTTCAGTTTTAAATAATGACTTTTAAACATAATGAAACTGAAGGAAATGAAATTGCTTAAATCATTCTGACCTTAAATATTAGAAATAAAGTTTAATTTTGTTGTAATGACAGTGAACAGCTTAAAATTTAGAAGATATTTAAAATTTTTGGAAATTGATCATGTTTAATGATAGATGCTCATTTTCACTTACTAAAATGGATCAGGAAAATGCAGGATGATATTTAAAGTCTTTTTTGTTAATTTATAATCAGTGTAACTTTCCTTTTAAAATTAAGGTGATGATGACAAAGGAAGTTAGGACCGCAATCATTTTAAATTGCTTAAATCACTGAAATATGGGAAAAGTTTTACAAGACTTTTGTTGTATTGATTTCACTTTAAGGTATTAAAAAGTACTATAAAATAGCTGTCAAAACCGGGTTCATCAGTAACATTGGATTCAGGGGAACTTTGCACTTTGTAACTCAAGAAAATTACATGTTGACCTTTTTGTTGCACTGGTTCAGAGTATAGACACTACAAGATTGTTTCCAGTGGGCATTGTTAGCCTTTCAGAATTCCACCTGCACATGAAAACTAATGGATGTAGGTCTTTAGTTTCTCTCTTACCTATAACCCACTATTATTGCCAATTTACTGTATTTTGAGCCTAAAATCTGAGCCCATGTCCTCCAACAGGCATGAAGTTGTTTGTCCCTCTGCCAGAAAACTAAGAAAGTACTGTATTTTGTATGTTTATTTTGAGATGTCTGAAATGTAATTTACAACACTGTTTTGAAGTGCTTTACATAAGATAATGTTTGTATGGTTTATACATTTTTTTTCTCCCAGCCTTCTCCGATGTCCTCCCGAAAAAAATCCTATAAAATATGTTTGGCTTTTTTACATTGAAATTTTACTGAATATAGTCAGAAACATGGGCAAGAGAAGAAAAAAGTATATCGTGGATGATAAAAACTTGCTCTCTGCTTGCTCAGTATGAGTTAAATATCCTTTATCAGCGGGAGCCACACAAGGTCGTGTGTGAAACTTTAGGAACCGCAGCTATCCTTCCCCTACTTAATGCTCCGCCAGTTTTTACAGTCACTTAGACTCACATATGCTAAAGTTAAGCCCATGCTTTAAATCTATTTGGAAGGACTTTTTTTTTTTTTTTTTTTTTTTAAGAGAGAGATTTTTGCTAATAGGCATGTACACTTGCCAGAGATAGAGAGAGTGAGAAATCCCCCTTAAGCGAAGATGGCCATGCAGCAGTCCCTTCTCCTCTTGGGATTCTTAAAACATAAGTTTTAAGATATAAGTTTTAAGTTGCTGGGTCTGGGACTTGAACCACCATTAAATATGTGGGAGTTCAGCAACATAACCATTATGCCATCTGCTGGTCCCAGGAAAAACTTCCTTATCTGCTGGAGTTAGTTGTCCCTATTCTTTCTGTTCCATCTCATAGAGTTTTGTCACCATGAATGTTCTGAATTCTTTTTCTGACATTTCGGTAACTTACCCTTTTTTTTTTTTTTTTTTTTTTAAGAAGAAAAGTATTTTTTTCTAAAATAGAAAGCTTAACCTTTGGAGTGATTTGTTTTTTAGAATACTCTTCTGTTCAGCATTGCTAGTATAAGGTCGATTGCCTTGAAAGACTAGGGATAGTACGTTAGTACTTGGCCTTGTAACAAATCGGTGTATCAAACTTACCTACCAGAAACCTTGCACTTAGGATTTTAAGATGAAGGCTGAATGGCAAGTTTTTGTTTTTTTAAAGACAGAGCTTCACTATGCTGTGGTCCTCTCTCCTTCATCTGGGGACTGCAGGTGCACACCACTGCACCCAGCTTTTAGAAGAGGACTTCAACAAAATCAATGGAAAAAATTGAAATTTAAATAGAAGTTTGTTTTGGTTCATAAACTTTTGAAAGTCATGCGTTTTCCATGAACTCTTTAAAGACTCCTGCTAGTAGAAGCCATGGATTGAGCCCTGGCCTCCCAGATGGCCTCAGTCCAAGTAAGAGCATCAGCCGGTGCACAGCTCCTGCTGGGCTGAAATGTGCTTCTCCACGTCTAATTGTGAGTGCACTCCTGGTGTAGAATTCTTTATCATTTTTTAAATTTTAGAAATAAAAATGTTTTCTTGTTTGTTTGTTTAAACATCATGAAACTTACCGTGACCTTTCTACTCCTGCCCTTGTTCTAATTATATGAGTGTTAAATTTGGTCAGTTTATTTTTATTTTTTAATGCGAGAGGGCATGCCAGAAAGTGGAAATCACTCTTGTGTGTCTCAGAGGGGTGTGTCATGCCACAAGCCCTTTTTCCTCATTTCTCTATCTCATCTGGACCCAGGGCACCCAGTTTGCTGCCTCCTGGGCTGTAAATTCGAACTGCAGTGGGCCTTGTGGGATCCAGTTCCCTCTGCGCGGTGCTTAAGCACTGCACTATGGGGCTGGCCTAAGGTTTGCTCTTTGCTGTAACGTATCTTATAAGAGTGACTTAAATGTCGGTTCCACAAACTAGTATAATTAATTGTCACTGACTTTCTGTCAGAAGAGTTGGGAGTTTAATGTTTGTTCTTGACAGCACACGTGTCTGTAAAGTGCTGATACATGTAATTATATTACAGTATCAACTTCCTGGCACTGAGGACCACGCATTTATAATACTTTAGCTGCTATATTTATTTAACTACAGTTTGACTGTTACTGCACTAAACAATGAGATGAGCAAGATTCAAGGCTAGTGTTTGACACCCCCTTTTTTTCTAAATTAAATTAAGAACATAGGGACCAGCAGATGACTATGTCGCTGGACTCCCATGTAGCCGACCATGGTTCAAGTCCTGGACCCAGTGGCTTAAACTCACACCAGGCACATGTGCGTGCATGCCCAAGATCCCGAGAAGAAAATGGAGCAGAAGAGATTACGGCATAGCCATCCCCCCTGGGGGGTGATTTCTTGCTTTCTGTCTCTCAGTCAAGTGTACGCGCCCTATAGCAAAAAAACCTCCCCCTGCCAAAAAAAAAAAATTAAGAACACAAAATCCCAAGGTAACAACGGGTGCTACCATTTAAGTTTCAATTTCATGTCAGGATAGTCTTTGTTTTAGAAATGTAGATTTTGACTTAAACCATTTTAAAAAGGATACCTTAGCCTCCTCAGTACTGTTTTTTTGGGGTTTTTTTTTTTTTTTCCACAGAAATACGGTTGCACTTTTTTCTTAGTAGTTACCTTTTAACAGGTTTCTTGGAAAACATATCCTTCTGTGGAAATATTCCTGTTTATGCCTGTTTATTTCTTTTTTTATAGAAGGGTCTAGGAGAGAGTCCACACTAGCAGGAGTGTCCTGGGCGTTGGGAAGGTACCTGATAAGATCCATGGCCACTCCTGGCCCTCTGACCTAACCAAGCTAGGTTCTCTGACTCACCACTGCCTGGTGTTTGTTTGTTTGCAAGAAAGTCTCAGAAAGTTCACGGAAGAGTAGAATTAAAGTACAGATTTATTTTGGTGCAAAAAAAATCCACACGTAGTTCTTTCACACTACACATTTTCCGAGAACTTTTTGAAGTCCCCTCCTCCTCACATTTTGTCAGGAATTTTGATATGACAGACCTCCTGACAGTTAGTCTGACCGGCTTAAGGTTCGTCTGGTGAAATAAAACCTGAGTTGCTATTCAGTAGAAATAGCCGGCCAGGGATCTCAGCATTGAAGGAAAGGCAGAGCTCCCAGTGTCAGAAATAGGCCCCAGTATTTATATAGATGACAGGCGAGGAGTAAGCAAGCAATCACTGTTCAGGAACTTGGTGGGTCTTTTCAGAGGCCAACAGGAATTTGCCGAGGGCAGTGGTTTTTATGAAAGTCAAAAAACTAACCACTTGGATATGGCTAGAATACTTTGTAGTCTTCCTACTTCAAACTTGATAGCAATGTTTTGCCAACAAGTTGAACTGAAACTCTGCATCACCTCTCTTGGTACGTTTAAACCTGTACTCATCTTAGATGTCCTCCTGTGCCCGTAATAGTAATTTGCTATGTACACTTCCTTTTATGAGTTAGTCAGACTGCAGAAAAACATTAGTCTTGCTCATTTTATTTGAGCTCTTTTACCCATCGACAGCGTTCATCCTTTTCTCTTGTTTTGAGCATTCGTAGCTGTCTTAAAGCCTCATGGTAACACTCAGGAGACTTTTTACATCGAGTGAGGCCTTCCTGAGCAGAGACCTTACCCTGACTTAGGGTCTCTCTGTTTTCCTGTCTCCGACCCATTTGATTATATAAATCCCTGTTGAGGTTCTAGAGGAATCCAAAAGAAACCAAGAATAGATGTGTAAAACTCAGTGTAAAAGTCAAAAAGTACAAATTTTCTCCAAAACAAATCTTTAAAAAACATTTTTTTGTCTTTTTTATATTAATACCAAGAACATTCTTGATTGTAGCAGTGTTAGAAGTGATACCAGGATCGGGACCAGCAGTTAGTGTAATGGCTATGTTGCTGAACTCCCATGTAGTCGGCCATGGTTCAAGTCCCAGACCCGGTGGCTCACAGGCACACCAGTGCATGTGCGTGCATGCCCAAGATCCTGAGAGGAGAATGGAGGAGAAGGGATCGTGGCATGGCCATCCCCCCTGGGGGGTGATGTCTCGCTTTCTGTTTCTCTGTCTCTGGTGAGCACATGCGCCCTATACCATCCCCCTCCCCCCCAAAAAAAGTGATACCAGGATTAGTAAAAGCCAAGTTGAGTTGGGGATGAGAGGTAGGGGAGTATATGTGTGTATGTGTGTGTGTGTGACAAAGAGAAAAATACTTTGACTTTTATCCTGCTTTTAAAAAATGGTACATTTCTATGATAGTCGACATAATTTTTTTAAGTAAGATATATGTCATGACTTGTGCTAATATTATCTACTGCTAGTAGAAATTTAAAATACTTTTTACCCATCAAAAATAGTGTTGTAGATGTTTACATTGTGGATTAAATCTTAAGAATCTTTTTTTCTTAAAGGATGAAAGTTAAAGATTTTAATTTCAACCAGAGATTGAAGGTTGATAAATTTGGTGTGGAGGGTTGAGACGTACCAATAGAAACGCTGCTGGGTGTTAGGTGACTACGATGGGCAGGGTTAGGGCCTGTCAGGTCATCGGTGTCGCCACTGGGCTCCGCCTTTGCGACCAGTGTCTGGAATAACTAAAATCTCATGTTGTGTCCCTGTCATGGTCTTAGTAAAGCTAGGGTGTCCTTCAGGGTAGACTTTGAACTAATTTTTTCAGTCATTTTTTTTTAAAGTAAGGTGGTTTTTAGAAAGTGCCTTTTCAGAAGACGGTGCTGAGATTTTTATTTTTCAAATAGCATGAGGCTAAAAGTTTTAAATATAAATTATTTTAGAATTCCAAGAGTGTGACATTTTCATATAAATAATGTTATTTGTTGTCCTGAATCTGGTCTAAGGGAACCAAGGAGAGTTTTTATGCAGTAAAGGATCTCAATAAATGCTCACCAGGTTTTGTAAATCTGAAAAAAAAGTTTTTAACAGACTTAATCCCTTTCATTTCCAGCTGTGTTGGAGGTAATGTGTAGTGCACATAAAATAGCAAACATATTTATTAAAACCATTATTTTAGAGGATGTGTGCATTGCTAAAGTGGAAAGGCATGCTCTACGGGGATGGTCACACCACAGTCCCTTCCCCATTCTCCTTTGGGCATTTTGGACACGTGGGTGAACACACCAGCACAAGTCTCGAGCCGCCAGGCCCAGGACTCAGACTGGACAGTCGGCCGTGCGGATCCTGCCGTGCTGGCCACCACACCACCAGCTGGCCCATGTTTTTTCTTTCTTTCTTTCCTTTTTTTGAGAGATTTTCGCTATAGGGCACATGCGCTCGCCAGACAGACAGAGAGAGACAGAGAGACAGAAAGCGAGAAATCACCCCCCAGGAGGGATGGTCACGCCGCAATCCCTTCTCCTCCATTCTCCTCTCGGGATCTTGGGCACGCACGCACACGCGCCCGGCGTGAGTTTTAAGCCACCGGGTCCAGGATGCGAACCGCGGTCGACTACGTGGGAATCCGGCGACATAGCCATTACGCTAACTGCTAGTTCCCATGGCCCAAGTTTTTAACAAGACCGTAGGTAAAGTAGCGAGTGT